CATAACCCCTGGTAGCACCTGGTAACACCTCATAATATCTGATAACACCTGATAACACCTCATAACACCTGGTAACACATCATAACACCTGGTTACACCTAGTAACACCTAGTAACACCTCATAAAAGCTGGTAACATCTGATAACACCTCATAACCCCTGGTAACATCTGGCAACACCTGGTAACCCCTGGTAACACCTCATAACCCCTGGTAAAACCTGGTAACCCCTGGTAACACCTCATAACCCCTGGTAAAACCTGGTAACACCTCATAAAATCTGATAACACCTGATAACACCTGGTAACACCTGGTAACACCTCATAACACCTGGTAACACATCATAACACCTGGTTACACCTAGTAACACCTCATAACCCCTGGTAACACCTGGTAACACCTGGTAACACCTCATAACACCTGGTAACACATCATAACACCTGGTTACACCTAGTAACACCTAGTAACACCTCGTAAAAGCTGGTAACACCTGGTAACACCTGGTAACACCTCACAACCCCTGGTAACACCCGGTAACACATCATAACACCTGGTTACACCTGGTAGCACCTGGTAACACCTCATAACACCTGGTAACACCTCATAACCCTGGTAACACCTGGTAACACCTCATAACACCTGGTAACACCTCATAACACCTGGTAACACCTCATAACACCTGGTAACACCTGGTAACATCTGGTAACACCTCATAACCCCTGGTAACACCTGGCAACACCTGGTAACCCCTGGTAACACCTCATAACCCCTGGTAACACCCGGTAACACATCATAACACCTGGTTACACCTGGTAGCACCTGGTAACACCTCATAACACCTGGTAACACCTCATAACCCCTGGTAACACCTGGTAACACCTGGTAACACCTCATAACACCTGGTAACACCTCATAACCCTGGTAACACCTCATAACACCTGGTAACACCTGGTAACATCTGGTAACACCTCATAACCCCTGGTAACACCTGGCAACACCTGGTAACCCCTGGTAACACCTCATAACCCCTGGTAACACCTGGTAACACCTCATAATATCTGATAACACCTGATAACACCTGGTAACACCTGGTAACACCTCATAACACCTAGTAACACATCATAACACTTGGTTACACCTGGTAGCACCTGGTAACACATCATAACACCTAGTAACACCTCATAAAAGCTGGTAACACCTGGTAACACCTCACAACCCCTGGTAACACTGGTAACACCTCATAATATCTGATAACACCTGATAACACCTGGTAACACCTGGTAACACATCATAACACCTAGTAACACATCATAACACTTGGTTACACCTGGTAGCACCTGGTAACACCTCATAACCCCAGGTAACACCTGGTAACACCTCATAACTCCTGGTAACACCTGGTAACACCTCATAACACCTCATAACCCCTGGTAACACCTGGTTACACCTCATAATATCTGATAACACCTGGTAACACCTCATAACACTTGGTAAAACCTGGTAACACCTCATAACCCCTGGTAACACCTGATAACACCTCATAAAAGCTGGTACACCTGGTAACACCTCATAACCCCTGGTTACACCTGGTAACACATCATAACACCTGGTAACACCTGGTAACAACTGGTAACACCTCATAACACATTGATGACTTTAGAGATAGTATAGTATAGGTATAGGATAGAAACACTGACTACATTTAAGACGTTATCCTGCAGAACTTTTCAGACAGAGAAGGGCTGATGCTGGAGGAAACTGACCGTCCCTAATGTCTCTGAATGTTTCTCTGTTAAAGTCCTCAGGTCAGACCAAGTCTCAGATCAAGTCCCCACACGAGTGTGTGTCTGAATCTTTACTCTTTGTGCACATCATGTGTGTTTATATGTGTATGTGTGTGTGTGTGTGTGTGTGTGTGTGTGTCTGATACTTCACTTTGTGTGCAGCTCATGTGTGTTTAAATTTGTCTATGCATGTGTGTTAGAGTTAAAACTCCTCCTTTGAGACCACAAACACCAACAGCTGTGCAAACTGTCAGGAAAAGAAGGGACTGTCCATGGAGAGTGTGTGTGTGCTTGTGTGTGTCACTGTCATAAGATGGTCTGGATGGAGGAAAACTCTTAATTTAGCTCTGGTGGAAAAACTGGGTCCTCTGAGGCTCTGAGCAGAAATCTGGAAAAAGTGAGACTGACTCTTCTTCATCAGAAACACAAAAACAAACGAGGATCCGTCTCAGAGGCCGACTGTGGCTCAGGGGTACAACAACAAAACAAATTCAAGGAACCCTTCTGCTGAGCGCAGCTATATCGTACATTTAGTAAAAGCAGCCATGGATTAATGTCAATTTGAGACTTGAATCCAAAATCATAATGACTCTCCAGATAAAAACAAATCAGCTATCGATTCATCGTATCTGCTCTCTGCGGTCCAAAAACCTAAAGCCCCAGAGGGGGGTCCGGCTCCTCGGCCTCACCGCCGCCAACAGGCAGGCCTTATGCCTCG